CCTTCCCTTCCCTTCCCTTCCCTTCCCTTCCCTTCCCTTCCCTTCCCTTCCCGGCTTTTCTGCCTGCCTCCCTTTCTTCCTTCCTCTCTCTCTCTCTCCTTCTCTTTTCCTTGCTTCCTTCCTTCCTTCCCTCCTTCCCTCCCTCCTGGGCTGAGGGGGGTAGCTGTGCCTCCTGAGCTGCTCCAGTGTTTCCTCCCCCCCTACCCCCACCTCCCCCAGGATGATGGAGCTGATCTACCAGAAGCAGAAGGAGCGCGAGGAGCGGGAGAAGCGGGAGACCATCGAGCGGGAGAAGCAGCGCCGGAAACAAGGCCAGGAGCTCCTCCTCATCCGCCAGAAGCTGCAGGAGGACGAGATGAAGAAGCTGGCCGAAGAGAGGCGGCGGGAGAAGATGGAAGAGAAGCTGGCCAAGTGAGGGGACCCTCTGTGTGTGTGTGTGTGTGTGTGTGAGAGAGAGAGAGAGAGAGAGAGAGAAAGTGAAAGCGAAAGCGAAAGTGAAAGCGAAAGTGAAAGTAAGTGAGTGTGAGCCAAGAGGAATGAGGGGGCGGGAATTGCACTTCCAGCTGGTCTCACTCCAAACCTGCCTCCCTCGACCTTCGTGACTTTAAGATGGGGGGGGGGACTTCAACTCCCAGAATTCCCCAGCCAGCATCCTTTAAAGCAGGGGGCGTGGCCTTCTGGCTCGCTCTTCTCGAAGGGTTTCTGGGAGTTGAAGTCCAGCCTTCTCCAGGTGTCTTAAAGCAGGAGGAGGAGGAGGAGGACCTTGGACTACACCTCCCAGCCTCCCTCAGCGGTGGCTGCTGGGAGGCTGAATTCCTCGCAGTGGAGGGCCGAAGCTTTGCATTCTGGGGTGGGGTGGGGTGGGGGGTCAAAGGAGTTTGTCCCGTCCGTTTTGCCTGCCAGCCGGCTCGTCCCACGGACACCCCTCCACGTTCTCCATCTCGGAGCTTTTGGGGACTTATCATTACACCCCAAACTGTGAAGTGAGTCAGGGGGTCCTTCCACCATTGATGCCCCCCCCCCCCCCCCCCCTTGTTCCTCTTGTCCAGGCAAAGAGTGCGGGAGAAGATAGAACGGGACAAGGCCGAGAGAGCCAAGAAGGTGAGGGGGAAACAATTCGGGTTTTAGTTTGTGTTATTTAGACTGACAAGTTGCCTCTGTGTTTCCTTCCTTCACCCAACTTCCCTCCTCCCTCCCTCCGTCTTCCCCTTCCTTCCTTCCTCTCTCTTTCCTCTCCCTCCATCCTTCCCCCTCCCTCTCCTTCCTTCATCCATCCTCCCTCCTCTTCCTTTTCTTCCCCCTGCCTCCCTCCCTCTTCCATCTCATCTCTCCTCCTTTCTCCCTTTCCTATTTGCTCTCCCTCCCTCTCTCCTTCCTTCCTCTCCCTTCATCCTTCTTCCCTCTTCTCTTCCCCCCTCTGTCCCTCCCTCTTCCATCTCATCTCCGCCATCCTTCTTTCCTCTCCCCCCCTCCCCCTTTCTTCCTCTCCATCCTTCTTTCCTCCCTCCCTCCCTCTTCTCCCCCTTCCTCTCCCTCCTCCCTATCCTTCCTCCCTCCCTCCTTCCTTCATCCTTCCCCCCTCTTCCTTTTCTTTCCCTTCCCTCCCTCCCTCTTCCATCTCATCTCTCCTTTCTCCCTTTCCTTCTTTGCTCTCCCTCCCTTTCTCTCCTTCCTTCCTCTCTCCCTTCATCCTCCCTCCCTCCCTCTTCTCTTCCCCCTCCCTCCCTCTTCCATCTCCCTTTCCTCCTCTCCATCCTTCTTTCCTCCCTCCCTCCCTCTTCCCCCACTTCCTCTCCCTCCTCCCTCTCCCTCCTCCCTCCTCCCCCCTCCCTCCATCCTTCCTTCCTTCCTTCCCACCCTCATCCTAGCTGGGGAATTCTGGGAGTTGAAGTATTTCCCCCCCCCCCCCATCTCAAAAGTTACCCACCACGAGGAATTGCTGGGTTTAGAATTGCACAGCTTTGGCGGGCTCACCTTCCTGATTTTTGTCGTCCCCCCCCCCCCCCCCCCCCCCCCCCCAGTTTGGCTGCAGTAGCGCTACCCAGGCCTCCCCCGTGACTGACCAGATGGAGCCCATGCTTATCTCCTCCCCCAGCCAGGAGCTCCCCGTCAAGCGAGAATACGATCAGTGCAAGATACAGGTAAGGCAAGATAAGAGCCGTGGAGCTAATATTTTCCACGCGGTAAAATCTGGAGAACAAGGAAAATCTGGCTTTCACACACCGTCCTCCGCCTGCAGCCGTTTGTTTAGTGACTGTTCGAAGCTAAAACAGCGCTGAAAAAAAATATATTTTCCCTCGATGGTTGAGGCATCCCACGGTCACAGGATCAAAATTCAGACGCTTGGCGGACTGACTCATATTTACGACGGTTGCAAGCGTCCCTTTTGCGACCACCTGACCAGCCAAGCTAATGGGGAAGCCGGATTCGTTGAATGACTGTGTCAGGAACTTAAAACTGCCGCAGGGATTCACGTAAACAACTGTCTGGCGAGGAAGGTTCGTCAAACGGGGGCCACAATTTCACTTTAACCACCGTCTTGCTTTAGCGACGGGAACATTGGCCTAAATTGGGGGTCATTGGGGGATTTGATTTTGCTCCTGGTAGGTGAGACTCCTGGATGGCACCTCTCTGACTCACACCTTCAAAGCCAAGGAGCAACTGGCAGCCGTGCGGCTGTATGTGGAGCTGAACCGCAAAGATGGTGGCGAAGACCCTTTTCACCTCCTGACGAGTTTCCCCCGGCGGGTTTTCACTGAGGAAGACATGGAAAAGCCCCTCCAGGAGCTGGGTGAGTTTGTGGTGGGGTGTGTGTGTCAAAGGGGAGTTGGGCCTCCAACTTCCCTTTGCCTCGTTCTGAAATGCCAGAACTGCATCGCTGTCCGGTTTGGTGGTAGCAGTGCCTCCGATAGAAAGTCCCTACAGAGAGTGGCGAGGGCAGTGGAGAAGAGCATAGAAAGTCTTGATTCACTCTCCAAAGCTGCTGTTTTTTCGGTCGCTCCCTCTGCGTCATCTATTCTTTTTTCCATTCATTTTTTTTTTCTCCCCTCCTCTCTTTCTTCCAGGCTTGGTGCCTTCCGCCGTGTTGATAGTGGCCAAGAAGGGGAACAGCTGAGCGGCTCTCTTCGCTTGCAACGAACGGTCGGTTGTGGCTTTCCCTCCTTCATGCCGGTTGTTGGAGGCTGACCTAGCCTGTAGTCACTGGGTGCCACCGTAGTGCGCCAGCCCCGTCCCCCCCCTTCTCCCCAGAGACTCTGAAACAGCAGCCCCTTAACCCAGGGATACTGAAACAGACATTATGTGGGTAGAAGAGTTGGAGAGGAACCAGGATTTGCAGCTGGATACACCCCCACAAAGCCAGCCCTGAATAAAACCTCTTCACTCTGGTGTCCCATTTGTGGTTTTCTTTCTTGCCGGAGGAACAAGCGCAGGATCTGGTCTTCCCAGCCGTCCTTCCCTCCCAAATTTACTCACACACACACACCTCCAGTTGCACCTGGCACCGTGAGGTAGACTGCCCCGGAATAAGGAGGCTGGATTGTAAGCTTGAAAACTTGCACAATCCACCGCGTACCCAAACTACGTTTCCCGTAACTACCCTCGCAAATTATCCACCGGGGAAATTGGGGTTCAAAGCTAGCGGCTGTGTTTTTAAGTGAGGATCCGTTTCACGGAGTGAGCAAAGGAAGAAAAGAGACACAAAGACACGCAGGTAAATTAGAGGTATATTTCCCCCCCACACTTTTCACCCAACAAGCATGATTTTTCAGCAACGAAATTGGCAAGATGGCTTATTCCACCGTCCAGAGTCACCGTAACTGACTGTTTTGACACAGGCATTTTCCGCGGAAGATTGAAAAAGCAGCAACGTTTCTCTCCTGTCTTAATGAACAGGCCAACCTCCCAATGAAAGGCTTCTCCCCCCCACACTTCCCCTCTGGGTTGCCTCCAGGTACGTCTCGGGAACCCTTCGCTGATGAAAGTACACCTTCCTCGTCCTACTTTGGCTCGACGGGGTCCACGATGATTACGATTGCCGCAGAATAAAGACCTGGAAAGAGACAAAAATCGTCGTTGGCAAAGGAGGCACAACTCAAGTTGGAGGGCTAATTATTTGTGTTGCTCTGCAGAAGGCAAAAGGAATAGAACAGAGCATGAATAAAACAGAAATAATAATAGAATAAGATAATAATAGAATAGAAATAATAAAGACTAGAATATAAATAATAGAATAAAACGAATAGAACAGAAATAAAGAATATAACGGATACAATAAAGAATAGAACAGAAAATAGAATAAAGAATAGAATAGAATGAATACAGTAAAAATAGAAGAATTGAATGGAATGAATAAAATAGAATAGAAATAATAAAAAAATAGAACAGAAATGAAGAATAGAAATAATAGAATAAAGAATAGAACAGAAAATAGAAGAATAGAACGAATACAATAAAAATAGAAGAATAGAATGGAATGAATAGAATAGAAACAATAGAATAAAACAAATAGAACAGAAATGAATAACAATAATAGAATAAAGAATAGAACAGAAAATAGAATAAAGAATAGAATGAATACAATAAAAATAATAGAAGAATAGAATGGAATGACTAGAATAGAAATAATAGAATAAAACGAATAGAACAGAAATGAATAGCAATAATAGAATAAATAGAACGGAAAACAGAATAAAGAATAGAATAGAATGAATACAGTAAAAATAATAGGAGAATAGAAATAGAATGGAATAGAATTCAAAAAAATGGAGGATTATTAGGGCCGCCCTGACTGGCTTGGTTGTACAGTCCTCATGATTCAGACCAGGCTCTCAGATACGACGCCTTTTTCTACTCATAACAATAATAAAGGCGGGATACAAGTCAATATATATAAATCCATAAAATAATAATAAAATAAGAATTTTTGCTACTTAAATTCTTTTTAAGACATTCTTGCTCCGGGGAGGGGAAATGCTGCCCTCTGGTGGCCCAGTTCCGTCATTGCAACCCGAGGACTCCCAAGCGGGGAAACGAGCTCCCTCCCCCCTGCAAGCCAAAGATATTTACACGTGTCTAACCTTACACGTCCGAATCTACCCCCCCCCGGGGACACCAACAGCAGCAACTTACTGACGGCTAAAACCAGCCGGATTATATTATAGAGGTCCCCGGGCCTACTGTGCGGCAAGGACCGGCGGACCCCCAAGTGGACCCAGAGGCCGGCGCCCGCCAGCCCGCCGCCGGTCAGCATGCGGCAGCTGAAGCAGGACCAGAAGAAGGACTTTTGGGGGGTCGCCTTGGAGGACCCCGCCACCGTGCCTCCTCCGGGCTGGGTCGCCATGTTTCCGCCGAGCAAGATGGCCGCCTCCGTACCGGAAGCCGCTCTGCCAGCCTCCCGGAAGCTTGGAAAAGTCGCCATCGGGGAGGAGGGAAACAAAGACGTCCGACCTCTATAAATGTCCGGCGGGGGCAACAGGGCTCCTTGTGTTAGGTTCCGGTTGGGGAGGGGGAGAAAACAAACGGGGCCTGTCTGAATATTATTTTCCTTGGAGGATAAAATAATCCTTAAATTCCTGGGCCGCGTTTCTTTCCCACCAGCGATCAATAGTTGCATCTTCCAGAATTCACTGGTCTCTTGTTTTAAATCTACCTCCTAGATATGGGCTTCTTAAAAAGTTCCCCCTAGTTGAAATATCCATCATCTCTTTCTCTATTTATATCTTTTTCTTCCTTCTCTCACCCTCTTTCCCCTCCTTCCCCTTTCTCCCATCTTTTTCCTAACTTCCCTCCCTAATCCTCCTTTCCTTTCTTCTCTCCCTTTTTCCACCTCCCCTTTCTCCCATCTTTTTTCCTCCCTCCTTCCCTCCTCTTCCTTCCCTTCCTCCTTTCCCCTTTCTCTCTTCCCTTCCTCCTCCTCCCCCTTTCTCCCATCTCTTTTCCTCCCTCCCTCCTTTCCCTTTCTCCCATTCCCTTCCTTCTCCTCCCCCTTTCTCCCATCTTTTCCTCCCCTCCTTCTTCCTTTCCTTTCCTCTCTCCTTCCCTTTCTCCTTCTCCCCTTCTCCCATCTCTTTCCTCCCTCCCTCCCTCCTTCTTAACATATGCATATTAACACTGTTAATTATTAAACTGCAGTTAAAAAAAAATTAACCAGCTAAGCAACATATCAATAATTATATATTTATAAATGTTACTAAAGCACAGGTATGAAAATTAAATTAGCAAGCGCCTTACATAAAAAAACACAACCAACCATATATTTAGACAAATCGTGTTAATAAACTGCAGCTAGCATATAACTTCCGTCCTTTTTCCATCATAAACTAACTTATCAGAAGCACTTGTTCTTGAGCATCAGTTTCCAGACCAATTGATGTTAATATTTAATATCTTTGTATTTTATCTTGTTGCTTTTACTTTTAACCAACCTATAAATTTAAATAAAACAAAACTTTTTAGGACGAATCAGACACTTAATGTTTTTTGTTGTGGCATGATGTGTGTGAATTCAAAGACTCAAGACAAGGATGACCCTGCTGGCTGGGTCACCCTAAGGACGTGTGTTTTTCTAAGGTCCGTTTTTTTTATTTTGCCAGGCATTGAAACACACACAGAGAAGAACACTCCAAAGTGCCATTTTTAATCTACGAAGACAGCTTACCAAGCAAGCCACAGAAGGACCCCGAGGAATAAACAGGTCGAAGGAAAAATGTGATTTTCATTAGAGTCACGATATTCGTGCCAATCCAAGTAGCCCAAGGCCACTTCAGGTCACAGCTATTGCTACTTTTTCGAAGGGTAAGGTTTTCGGGCCCAATTGTCATCTGTCGTCGCGGCCTCTTTCAGGATTTCCATGAACAAGGCGTTCTGTCGTTGCGAGTCCGAATAGTCCTGACTGGAACCCCCGAAATTCTGCAGGGAGAACGAAGACGTGAGGAAGGCAAACCAAGTTTTTTTCGGGCATCCCCGTTTTGAGGATCTGTACATCGCCTGAGGTGAAAAAAACCTATTTGTCCTTTGTGATCTAAGCCACACCTCTTCTCCTAAATAGTCAGGAAAGATTCTAGTCTTCATGGTTCTGAATATGATCTTCTTTAACAGGCTGGTCCTTGTGGTTCTACATAGGCTATGTTATTTAAGGTGCTAATCCTCACATTTCCAAATAGAATCCTATTTAAGATGCTAGACCTTCTGATAATAATAATAAGATCTGATCTGAAATGCCACTTTGGTGTAGTTTTGGTGAAGGTGGTATTGGCCTAGAAACCGGAGACTCTGAGTTCTAGTTCTGCCAGAATCATGAAAGATTCATTTAATCACAAAAGCTGGATGGGTTATGTAGAGCTGGTCACTCTCTCAGCCCAACACACCTTCCAGGGTGGTTGTGATGGGGAAAACAGGAAGAAGGCGTAATTAGCTATGCTTGCCATCTTGAGTTATATATAAAACTCAAAAAAATGGGAAGTAAGAATCTAATAAATTCCATTTATTACACACACAGAGACTGAGATGTACACTAATACAAGCAAAGAGCCGGATACAGAATGCAGATTTATTAGATAAAAATCAAATAAACAAATCAGAGTCTAATAAGCAAAGCAAATATAAATCTAATGATTGAAATTTAAAAAAAAAATCTAACAAATGCATAAATAAATAAAACCCATATATTTCTGAATGCTATTTTATTCAAGGCGCTAGTCCTCATGATTCACACCTGGATCTTACACAAGGCCCTAGTCCTCGGGATCCTGAACAGGGCCTTTATGCAAGATGCTTGTCCTCATTATTCAGGGCAGCATCTTATGCAAGGCGTTAGCCCTCGTTATTCAGAGTAGAGTCTTATGCAAGGCGCTAGTCCTCGTATTTTAAAGCGGCAACGGCAGACATAGGCCTGGAGCCTAAGCCTCCCCGCTATTTCCTCACCTTACTGATCTTCGCCGAACGCGCCTCGTCGGACGGCCACAGCTGAAAGATCAACAGCGCTCCGGCGAAGATGCCCAGCCCGGTGCCCGCCGCCTTGACGATGCGCCACTTGACGGCCATAGCGGGCCGCGGCGCCTCTTCCCGGAAACGACGAGGGGGGACAGGAAGCGGCGGCGGACCACCATAGACAGCACAAGGGCGTCGGGCCAGAGGGCAGTTTAAGCGAAAGGGAGAGGAAGTTTGTTTCTCGGGGTTGAGCGCCCTCCTGTGGCCACCTGAAGAAATCTTTTTTTTTTCCTTTCTTTTTCAGCGTCCAAGCTTCACGGTTAGAATTTGCATTCAGGTTGTTGCACATATGTGGATCTTCCAACCTCGGCCGCTTGAAGAGAGGTGGACTTCAGCTCCCAGAATTCTTCAGGCAGCATGTCTACCCATCTTCAAGCACGCCAGGTGGGGAATTATGGGGATTGGAGTCCACCCATCTCCAAGGTGCTGAAATTGAGAAGGGAAAAAACAAACAAAACCGCTTTTAGAGGGTGGATCTTCTTGCAACTTCTCGCACAGACGGTTTCCAAGGTGGCAGCAAAGTCAACATTCCCCTCCAAAGCTCAGCTCACCCTTCTTGCCTTCCCTGCAAATGACAGATTGGACCAATGTTTGCTTCGTCCCAGGACAGGACAAAACTCCAGATATGTTTTTTTAAAACAAGAAATAAACATGGAATTATGCGTGTGCCTGCCTCTTCCTCTTGCAACAACACGTCAGAAGCCCAGATGTGCTTCTGGGAGTTGAAGTCCAGCCATGTTGACTGGGGACTTCTGGGAGTTGAAGTCCACTCATCTTAAAGGGGCCGAGTTGACAAACCCTGCCTTTAGCAACATTGCTGGGCTCTGTCGAGTCCAGGATCGGCAATCTTGGCTCCGGCAGTTGGCCTGCTAACCAGGTTTCTCTGAAGGAAGCTGGAGAAGGATCCCAAATAATAGATATTATCCACACCCCAGGGGGTTGAGACTTACCTCCTTTTCGCCCACCCTCCGTGAGATTACCTCACATTTCCCTGAGCTCCTTAGCTCTCATTGAAATTTCCATGAGGTCAGAGGGAGATTACTAATCTGGACATCTCCCACTGGCCCTTCGGCCGCAGTTCAGATTGTGACTCCAACCCTGACTCTTCTCCTTCCTTCCTTTTCCTTTTTCCCACCTCTGGTTATCCAACGGAGGCCGAAGAATGAGCTGCCATTAGTATACCGTGTCTCCTTCGGCTTCCAAAATTTAGACCGGAGCTGTTTGGATCCAAGAAAAGGTAAGCAATATGAGGAAATAAAACAAGGAGGTGAGAAGCTTGGGATCAAAATCGAAGTGTTTGCTCAAAGCTGCTGGAATTCCTCCCCTTTTCTCTCTCCTGGTTTCTCTGACTTTGTAAAACTAGCAGGTGGTATGTTTGAACGTTGACAAGGCTCTTGATGTCCTGCCTTAACCAGGTATGGGGCTCTTGGTGTCTTTCCTGCAGGTGTTTCGTTACCAAAGTAGGTAACGTTATCAGTGCTAGATGGGAGTGGGGTTTGTGGGGGGGGGGGAGAGGAAGAGGAGGAGGAGAGGGAGATGATTGTGGGGTTATTGGGCATTTTATTACCCAACTAGGGACATCATGCTAAAGAAGACTTTAGGATCTTTGGTGCTCTCCAAGCTGGGTGGTATCCTTGCAGATATCAATGCTAAAAGGGAGAGGAGGAGGAGGAGGAGGAGGAGGAGGAGGAGGAGGAGGAGGAGGAGGAAGACTGTGGGATCCTCAGTGCTCTCTGAACTTACTAGCTTTCTTGCAGACGTTTCATTACCCAACTAGGTAACATGATCAGTGCTAGGAGGGAGAAAGCTTTGCTTTCTGTTTATATACAAGTGCCTCATCAGGGTTGTCAGTTTACAACTCCTAGGAGTTGAAGTTCAGACCTCTGAATGTTGCTGCCTCGTTCGAAAAACACTGCAGTTGCCCCTCCAGTTCTTTCAACTTGCGCAAAACGCAGCTTAGACAAAAACCAATATGTGCTTCGTCATTGCTGCACATATTCCCTGGCCAGCTATCTCTGGTTCAAGTTGCACCGCACCACAGGGATCTGCTGGATGACCTTCCCCTCTTCTCCCCTGCTCTAAGATGACCTTGGAACAGTGGCCAAAAGCCTCCTGAGATATCAATTCGGACAATTATCTCTCAGCCGCTAATCCGCCTCCAAACACCCTTTGCTTAAGTGCTTGGGACGATGGTTTCCAGCAAGGGCAGCCAAATAAAATGAACCAAGGCCCCATCTTGATTGCCGCTTGATGCGGCTTGAAATGAATGGACTACAACTCCCATCCTCCCCAGCCAGCAGCAGGGGGTACGGTAGGAGGAGAGCCAGCCAACCGTGTGCAGCAAATCGCCTCCGACGGATTTTTAAGATGGATTGAAAGAGGATATTCTCTCCTATTGAATCTTTTTACCACCACACCACACACACCCCCATTTTGATTTTTTAA